ACTCTAGCCAGGGCAACAAAGCGAGATTCTGTCTCAAAAAAAAAAAAAAAAAAACTTGGTATCTGTGTATTAAATGTACTAGATAACACAAATACATAAAAGGTGATTTCCATTCTAAAAATGCATAACATTTTTAGGTTCTTCTCTAAACTGAATTAGCTGATCTTGATATAGTCCTAAGAGGGTCAAAAGCCCTGCTTAAAAAGCCCTGCATTTTCCAGGTGAAGAAATGAAGCTCACAGAGGTGAAGGGACTTGCCTGAAGCCATGCACAGGGACAGTGTCTAAATTCCTAGTCTAAATCCTTTCCTTTGTGGACCACACCACTTCTGTTGGTCTGGTAGGCTTGCCATGAAGCAGTTTCTTTCTTTCTTTCTTTTTTTTTTTTTAACACAAAGTGCTGTATTGTATTCTGAATGGTAACATTTTTTAACTGTATACTACTATAATATGACGTTCATAATTTACAAAAACATTTCTATTCTTAGGATTTATTGAGATCAGAGAAATCTACTATATAAAAGGCAGTATTCTAGATACTTGGGTGATTAAAAAAAACAGGTTTCATATCTGTTCCTAAAGTGCTAACAGCCCACTGTGTAAAAGTAGGCCACATGAAGAGAGAACTTGACACAAGACAGCTTTTACAAATTCCAAAATAAGTTGTGTAGCTAGCACTTCTAACGGTCTTCCAAGGTCAGAAATGGCTGGAGAAGATGCTATGGAGGAGGCTGTAAGATGCTATGCCAGTGGCATCTTGAATGCCCTGTATTTTTCATAGGTTTGAGCAAGAGGAAAGTGTGAAGATGATGAAGGAGTGAACCCACACTGTGAGTCAGGGCTGTGGGTAAGACAGAGCAGACGGCTTTATTAAGCAGGAGAGAGAGGTAAGGAGAGCTATGTTGTTGTAAAGATACACGTGGTTGGTGTTCAAGGTTGAAAGATGACTGGAAACATAATGCACAAATCGTAATCAGGTGTCAAGAACTGTCCCTAAGGTAGGGAAGTGGGAAAGGAATAGGATGTATGCAAGAAGTCAAAGATGCCTAAGATTTTTTAAATGTGTGTGTGTGGGTAATTGTTAGTGCAAATAAACAAATAAGAAGGAATGAGTTTTGAAAGGAAATTCTAAGATTCTTTTTAGATATACCTAGTCTGAGGTGGTGGAAGAGCATGCAAATGAAACTATTCAGCTAGTAGTTGGAAATGTTGGCCAGGGACTTGGATAAGAGGCTGTAGGGTAGATTTAGACTGGAGAGTCAGATATATAGAGGTCAGAATTGAAGCTTGGGAATAGATGCAATGCCTGGGAGAGAAAATCTAGACAAAAAGACCACCAGTCCAAGGACCTAACTTTGGAGGAATGCCAGGAGAAAGAGAATTTTGTCAGAAGGGAAAAAACAAAGTAAGAAGCCAAGGGATGAAAAAATGTTAATAGTGGCAAAGAGGTCAAGGAGGGTAAGAAGAGATTCATGGATTTAGTGATTACAAGTTCAATGAGGGTCTCAAGTGTGCTAGTTCAGTGGAGTATAGACAGACAAATTATAGGGGTTGAAGATTGACTAGAGAAGAATAAATAGCGGGCTCAGACTATTCTTAATGACAAATAATCTATAAAAAAAATTGACTAAGGTTTCAAGGACAGTGCTACTTCTCCCAGGAAGGACCACCACTGCCCTTCTGCAGCCACCAGCGAACAAGTGCGTGTTCAGTTAGCAATCAGAGCATCTTGAGTCTTGTCGAAATGGTCCACAAAACCAGAGGGCTGAACCGGGCCTCTGAGATCACTAACCCATCCTCCTCAGTTTTCTCGGGAGGAAACTGAAGGACAGTGGTGAAAAAATAGACAGGAAATTTAAGGTCTTACTTGGTGACAGAGCTTATGCATGTTATCTTACTTAATCAACTCTATGAAGTAATTATTATCACCATTTTAAAGATGGAGGAAACTGGACTTAGAGAAAGTTTAAGAAACTTGTCTAAAGGAGCCTGATCAATCAGTGGCTAGACAGGGACTTGAGTCTGGTCTGCTTGGCTGCTGTCACAACACACCTTCCAGGTAAGACAATACATGGAAAACAATACATGTGCTCTGGGACATACTAGGTGCTTCGTAAGTATTGGTAATAGCAGAGTTAGTTTAAAAACCTAAGTCCCCTGAGTCCCAGGCTAGTAGTGTTCACTGAATAATTGCCAACACTTTACAGAGAAGGAACCATAAGAAAAGTTCAGCTGCTTTAAAGCCTGTTTATAACAAGGCATAGGGTAGGTAAAAGATTATAAAATAGTTCCATTTGTTTAAGTTTAGAAGAGATCCTACTTCAATCGATGGTAGTATTTTAATTATTATGTTATTTATAGCAATTATTTATGTAATACAACTATCTACAAATAGTATAACTGAGGCACAGAGTGGTTAAGAGTCTTTTGTGTAGAAAATCTAGAATTTATAAACTGAAAAACTCGACCGAGTTATGTAAAAACAATAATGTGGCTTTGTAAAAGTCATCCAAGTTTTTGATAAAATTACTAGTTTCGACACACCAGGTTAAGTTACAGCCTCTGTTCTGTTTGTAAGGAGCCTGTCTTTCCTAAAATATGAATTAGGTAAAGAGAAAGATAACACTGTTTTCTTCACTTTTGTATAGAAAAGGGACTGTCAGTTTACTTACCTTTTCTTCCCTTTTAAATGTGAAAAACTGGAATTTAGCAATAAATTAGAGCTTAAGAATAATCATTACTTTTTTGGTTTAGGTATTGTTTTTATTTACTGCTACCTGGAACAATAACAAGCTGTTGGAAATTAGGCTAGGAAAGTCATTGTAACAGGCAAAAAGAAAAATATTCTCTGCTGCCCTCTACATGGGATATTGTGAAATGCAATTGTCAACCTGTTTTTTTCAACTTCATATTTATATTTGTAGGGATATTACATAGATGACTACCTAAACAATTGTTTAATCTGTAGAAAAATATGGATGACAGTAAAATTTGTATCTTCAGCCCTTATAAAGCCTTCATGTTTTAGATTACTAAATTAAATATA